GTGACAATGGAATAAGATGAGGGTGATAGGCAAAATGTCAACCTTCACTGTCTATATGAATATGAAGAACTACCTATGAGCAGTGACACAGACAGAAGTATTGGTTTGTTGTCACAATTTGGCTTTTAAATGATTTGGATCTTGGAACTGTGGTACTTTAAAGCTTTACTTCCCGTCCCAAATTAATATTTACTTTGTACTAGTATCTATGAACGTGCGTTGCACGTTAATAATGGCAGGTGATGATTTAAACATTTATTTATATGAAGGAATAATGAAATTTAATTAATGAGATAAATTTTATGTATAATAATATAACAATCATCTAAATGCCGAAAAATATTACTATTACGTTAGCATAATACATGAATTTAAAATTAAATAACATTATCAAAACTTACACAAATGATCAATTTTGTCATGTTAGTTAGATAATTATGTATTATAGTTTAAAAGTATTTAATATGATGGTATCTTAACGAACATTTCTTTGTGGACAATATTTTTTTGTGTATGTCTCCTCTTAATGCTTTGGTTGTTCTGCCTTATCCAAAACTCTTGTTGTCGATCTTGATATCCCTCTTGAAAGTATAATAAACAGTTGTTCGTACAAGAAAATATATTGCGGTAAATATAGTCAAATATTTAAGATGTTTGTCTTTGTGCTTTGTTTATTATATTTGCAAAACATAAACATACTTAAAATTATTCTCACACAAATTTAAAAGGATATTCTTTAGTTTCGAAAGACGAAAGTTGAATTCAAGAAAAAGAATATACTTAGAAGCACATTGACCAGTATTGTAATTTTTGCATGTATGACGTTATTGTCAAAACTTCTATATACTATTTATGTGCTATTACATAAGTTATTCAGCGTATGTAAGTTTTTCAGTGGCATGACATGCATATTTTTCTTTAAAATCAACTTATATACAATGGAAGATCAATTTTAAATTAGTCTATTATATATACTGTGACACTAACATAGGTAAGAAATAATAAACTTGACAACAAACATGTATGGTAGAAGGCCATCTAGTATTTAAGTATTCTTCTTGGGAGTAATTATAGGTATCATTTTCTGCTGAGTCAAAAACAGAAAAGCATTTTGTTTTTACTCTAAAAATTTTCAATCAACATTTTATTTAGTTGACCAACATATTCATTTCTGCTAGCTAAGATATCTTTTTAATTCTATCATGCGATTTGTACAAATTGTATTTTAATACAATGATAGAAATATTCTCTAATTAAATGCATTGCTATTGCCATTGAGATTGATAACCAAATGTTCAGGAAGAATCAAATCATCTTTTATTGGATTCTTTTCTTTGTTTCCGACACGAAGCAAGAAGACACTGAATACTGAAATTTCTTGTTAGTTGAATCTTTTTATTTGAGGCTAGAAGTATAACTTTGGCAAGCTAACTTTTACAGTCTCTACTTTTGTCGATTTTGGAACTATTGGTAGTACTTGACATAAATTACTTCCAAAATCATTAATTTTCACCATACGGTTCATTAATATCCAATATATCTCTAGAACTCCAGGCAATTATTTCGATCGTTTGACACTTAGCCATAAGTGCTTCATTCCATATTATCAACTTTGATTTCCTTATAAAATTAGCATCATTGCTCTGCTTTGATATATTTGTGATGGTTATTTAAGTTGTTTGAAGAAATATATCAAATCTAAAGTGGGTGGCCTCACAATAAAATCGTTGTTGGTACACCACTTGCTATTATTGCTAACATTGTCATGCTTCTTGATATGATATTTGCAAATAATGCATGATATAGAAATATTATTTCGATTCAGCCGGAGGCATCTACAAGAATATATAATCCCGTTATATCAGAGCGACTCTTTATAATATAGTCTTGAAAGCTTGTTCTTGTTTAGGATTTAGTTTTGATTGTGTTTCCTCAGACACGTGTATATCATTTTGATTCTTAATAATATACTAACATTTTTACTTTGTGTTCTAACACTCTTTTTATGGAATAAATTTATGTACCCTAAGATTGTTTTTAACTTGAATATGAATTTTGCTCATATGATGAATTTAAAAAATAATTGAATTGGATTCTCTTGCTAAATAATTAATAAAAAAATTAATTATTTGATTTTAACATAAAATTATAATTATTCTATGTTGATTCAGATATTAATATTAGTTCATCTCTTGTTTTGAATATTTAATCTTAATTATAATTTTATCCACCATAAATTTTATTTTCAAAGAGTAAAAGATTGATATGACATTTCATTTTTAGATCTTTATATCTGTAGAATCATTAGTGGTTTTGACTCTTACCAACACATTTATATTCTTAAATATTTTCTTAGTTGTTGTTTAATAATTGGGTAGTTTTTAATATTACACGAAAATTAATAATTGTTTTTTATTTGAGTAGGAAAATAGTTCAAATATAATATAAAAATATATTATCGTGGGTTTTCTTTCTCAATTTCAACTCTCTATGCAGTCCATTTAATATTACTTTTATTTTTTTTGGTATTGGACATTATGGAGTGATAATGTATTGCCAATACGGAGGATTCTTATAAAATTGATTTTATTAAACCTTCTTACATATTTTTAATCAGAATTTAAGAGATAAAATTTTATTAATTTTAAAATTTTAAATATTAAAGTTTAACACATAAGGTATTGTAGTCCAAAAATTAGGTAATTGCAGTTATGTCTTTTCCCTATGAGTTCTCCCGTTTAATATTTTAGGACTATTTTGGTATATTAATATTGTATTTATAATTTTATAATAATATAGACTCTCCTTTTTCTAAATAAATTTGGACAATATAATACATTCTCAAATTAAATTAGTTTCAAATTAAATTAGTAATAGAAATTTTTAAGAAGTATATCCTAAAAGTAATATAATTACATGACTAAAGATATTTACTTGTTTAATTTTAATTACCTTTTTTTTAATATATTTTTTTAATGTTTATAAGGCACAAAAAATTCAAACTTTAAAATGTATCACCTTTATTAGCTACCAACTTATCATCATAACTTTCAAGTTCATACTTTGCACTTCTTACATTAAATTCTCATGTAATCGATCCCAGTTAAATTGCAAGTATCAATTTTTTGGAAGTCTTTTTTAATTTTACCAAATTCGTGCTTGCTCCAATGAATGAGACAATGCACTCCTTTACATAGGTAGTATGAGGCGGTGGTGAAAATTATCTATTCTAGCCCATGTGAAATTTATAGTATATGACTATGGAACATAACAATGGGTAGGAATCTTGCTTTGTATATGAACCCCATGAGAACTAGTATTAATTAGTAAAAGTTTTCAATGTTACAATTTTATCCACAAATGAAATTATATTAAAAGTAATATGATTACATGACTAAAGATATTTACTTATTCAATTTTATATGAATTAGAAAGCCCGAAAATAATTATACTAATAGGATTCCTAACGTGTAGTATTATGTCCTAAAACTAATAGGATTATAAGGCAAATATCTAGAATTCTGATTATGTCCTTTTATTATGAGTTATTATGCTTAATATTATAAGGTTATTTTTGTAAACCGACATTGTATTCATACTTTTATAATAATATAGATATAGATTATTTTCAAGCTATGTTGACGTAATGTGTGTGGTTGTATGTATTAAAAATATATTATTTGTATATAAGATTGAAAATGTTTTCGGTGTCATATGCCACCACTTATTAAAGTGTATCTCAGCCACTGCCTCTGAGCATAATGGAGTTACACAAACAATCAATTAACTAAGCCTCGACCCTAAATTAGCTAAGCCCGGCTCTTCTCAGACCGAACATTAGAGAAAAATGTAGATATTAGGTTAAAACAAAAGCAGGATTCACAGTACAACAAATTACATAGAGCGAAGATCATTCTTCAAATATAAACTCCACCTTGTTGCAGTTAGTATAACACTTTTGAGATACCAGTTAACCTTTCCCAAGAATAGTACTCCATCAATATTTGCATATATGAATTTCATAAGGTTTTAAAGATTGTTTTGACAAGTGTCTATTGACAGAAAAAGGTTATAAAGATCCTAGAACAAAAGATACTGATAGATCAGTCATCCTATCATTTATCTATTCAATTATATATTTTATTTATTTATTTTTAAAAGATATTGATATTTTATTTTTGGGCTTAATTGCTACTCCCTCCGTACGAATTTATGTGGCAGTGTTTGACTCGGTATGGAGTTTAAGAAAGAAAGAAAGATTTTTAAAACTTGTGGTCTAAAACAAACATTATATATTTGTGTGGCTGTAAATTATTTCATTAAGAGTAAAGTGAGAAGTTTAAAGTTAAACTGTTTCTAATAAGGAAGTACGACATTCTTTTTGGGACAAACTAATAAGGCAAGTATGACACATAAATTGGAAAAGAGGGAGTAATTGTTCCTATTACAATTAATTTGCCCCAACTTATTATAACTAATAAACCTGGAAGAAGGAGAGAAACGGGAAATGTTGTTCCTAGTTGATTCTTCCTGGAACAAACCCTGATTCATTTCTGCTTAACCATTGTTTCAAAATGGGACATTATTTTGACAGATGTGCTTTGAATTATTTAGATGAAAAGAGAAGGGCGAACTGTGGGTTATCACCTTTGGGCGAACTCTCCATACCCCTCGGTCGTAATAGATGGGTTAACCCCTTCATATCATATTTTAACCATTTGAAAATAACAACATATCCAATATAATCCACAAATGGGGTCTACGGAGGATAGTGTGTACGCAGACCTTACCCCTACCTGGAGAGGTAGAGAGGTTGTTTCCGATAGACCCTCGGCTCAAGATAAGGTGGAAAAGATTTTTTAGCCATTTGAAAATTAAATGGAAATGAGGAAGTATATCTCTTAAACTTCCATTCAAATCGCAGTACATAGCCATCAACTGGCTATAAGTGACCTACCTTCCAATTAAAGTAACTAAGCCTACGCATGACATCCAGTAAAGCATTTAGAACAGGACTAGCTGCTTAGATTAGTTAACTTACCTTGAAGTGTGTACAACCACAGAAAGAACCGTAGACGGCTCCTTCGTCTTAATTAGTAGTACAAGAGTAATCAACAGATATACACTTCAAACAAAAATATATTCAGCTGTCTAAGAGCTATATACAATCCTACCAAAAATGGATGATAACCTACAGATTGTACCTCTCACACTAGAAGTTGAATGAAACACTGACACTTGTACCTCTATACCCGCTGCTTTATAGGTCTATGAGGCTTTGGAGCTGAAATCATTAAAACAAGAAAACTACTCAAACTTTTTGTAGAGGCAAAAGAAGAATGATGTCGGAGAAGAAAGGATATTAATATTGTAGCAATTCATATTTAAAGAAGCTATGAAGATGGGTAAGCATTCAAGAATACTAGGTGATTTAATTGGCAAAATGCATTTAAATTTTAAAAGACAGATCAATTGTGAGGATGCGAAAAGAGATCGGTGATGATACAATAAACTCATATCACCTGCATTCAATCCCCCCCNGAGAACATTACTAACAAGGAAAATTCCTTTTAAGTGGTGATGGAAGTAGTTAGCTCAAGTAAATAAAAAGAAGCAAAACATTAAAAATTAACATACAATAGTGAGAGATGAGTATTTATTGCTGAACTTGATGAAAAAAGGCCTTAAGAGTCTTAGCATGTATTCTGTATGTGTATTCTCCATGTAAATTCCATGCTATTGAGAAATCTGATTATACTACTTAATGGAAACAAATACAAAAAACATGCAATTGATCAAAGAATGTCCTATCATCAATTTTAGACACATTAAAAGGTGACATGAGCACATTCTCTCCTCTTCCAACTCCCTCCCAAATTTTAAAGAAAGCAAAAGGAGACCGCTTACTCTAACGATAAACTTTTAAAAGCTGAAAGAAACTTTTACCATTGTATGCAAAACATCACTTATAAATTACTAGTAGACTACTGACAGTCACGGCAATCGTGGAATTGAAGGAGCATTGTTTGTATAGACACTGTACTTTGTTTATATGCCAGGTGACAGCCCAGAATTAGACCAATCTTCTACTGTGCAAGATTGGGACAAAATATCTTCCCAGTCTTAGAAAAGTAATATCTGTGATAGCTTTGATGAATTAGTATGAAGCAATCTCATTACAAAGCTACCACATGCCAATTAAGCTCTAATTTCATTCCAGTTTTACTCCTATCAGATTTTCTAAATCTATTGATTTACTTGCAAAAACATCACATCCTATAGCACAATGACCGAGGCAAGCAAATAAATCCCTGGCTGAAACAGCTTGAGTCTGTCAGTCATCATCCACTTTCTGTATGTAGTATCTAGTGTCAAACAACATTTACTAGCATTAGAATGTTATAGAGATAGAGCTATACCATTCGGATTTCCTTGCTCATAGAAGCTTCGAAGAAGATAGACTGCTTCAGAAGCCATTATTCCAGCAGTGCATTTGAAACCCTTTTTTGACGAGGCAAATCCACTGAAAGAAAATGAAAGAAAATAAATATCAAAGACCAGCAGGGGGGTTGGCAATTGTAAGTGAACAAAGAAACAAAAAATAAACTGATAATGGAGCACGCCGACCTCCTCTACCCACAACTGGGAAGGAAGGGTGGGATCTCCCAGCAGAAAGGGCTAAAACCTTTGTTTAAACCGAAATACTCGATCACGCAGCAGGTCTCCCAGAAGGAGCAGGTTCCTTGTTTTCCAAAACGGTTGGCTACGTTATCCACATTCTATAATGGTATAGCAAACATACATCTTTAGATGGATGCATTCCGCATATTTCGACAGGTAACTAGTGATGGATGAAGAAGAAAACAACACGGATGCATTCCGCATATTTCGACGTGTAAGAATCAGTGATGAAGAAAACAGCAAATGGTGAAGTCTGAAATCAGGCCATATCAGTGTAATAATACAAACTATCACGCATTTAGAATTTTCACTTGAAGGAACTCCAGAACCTTTCTCTGCTATATTCATTCTCAAAACTTATAATAGCAGTTTCTAAAGCTTCTAAAGCACATCCACAGAATGTTTTTTCTTTTTCCATCCAGAAGAGCAATTTCAAGATTCTTCTTTTACACACATTAGTAATAGGATGTTTAACCAAGCTTCTGCGAGGCCAAAAGTTCTTTTTTGTCAAAAAATGATGGTGCTTGTTTTAGAGAATTGAAGTGTTTGCCCAAGCTTTTTGGAGAAAAATAAGTGCTTCTAACCAGAAGCAGAAGCTATTTTGATTTTCCTCTTGGCGGAAATACCCTTAGCAAAATATTTCACATACCAAAATAATCCTAATTAATTTACCAAATAGTTTTTCATAACCGTGGTGTTCGAGCCAACTTGTGCACACCTCGACTAATTCCAAGGGGTAGCTGCTACCTCCCACCAGCACAGGCACACCTTGTCCACCAAAGCTTGGACATATGGGAAGAATTCACCTAGTATTTTCATAATAAATACTTAAAATTATGTATCTACATAAAAAATATTACGTAACAATTAAGTAAATTTTTTCATGTCCTTATTTAATTTGCTAGTCAAAAGCACATTTTGGGGCAAACACAAATTGCTGCTCCAAAATTCTTTTCAAATTGATTAGCCGAACACAAACTGCTTCTTTTCAAAAGTACTTTTTTGAAAAGCATTTTTCAAAATAAGAAGATTTTAGAAGCTTGGCCAAATAGGCTATAACTCTAAAGCATAGCAATCTCTTTTGTGTTTACATTGAAAATGCAGAGTATATACCAACAACTATGCCTCGGAAATGCAGAGCATATACCCCTAATGAAAATATAAATTTCTTTCATTGAGGAGGTTTTAAAGAGGAAACAAAAGTATATGATGCCAGAGCATACACTGTCCAGAAACTGACTATGACCAATAACTTCTATTGATATTGAAAAGCAGCAGAATTTGTGTTCGTCGGGCACCAAGGGGATACCTCTTCTTTTTTTTTTTTTTTGAACAAAGAAACGGCATGCCTCTTATGTTCAAAAGCTATAGTTGAATCAATCAATAAACCAGCTACCACACATGACTTGTTCTATCCTTTGGCTACCCACTATAGCCATGGTGCTGCAATCTATGGATCAAACCACCAGTACAGTGGTGCCCTGCCTTCTGGCAAACCAGCAAACGCTTTGCAAAATTTCACCAAGTTGGGGCAGAAGAAATGAAAATTGAGGATCAAAGATGGTAAAACAGAAAGTGAAGGATAGCTCTTGGATAAGCATATCTAACTGTGTTACTAGGCTGATCTTTAAGCCATACAGCAAATTAGTATATATTGGTCACCCACAAAAGACTTTCTGTACTCTAACCTTGCCAATGGAAGTGAGCAATGGTAAATTCATGTGAGGATCAAATTTGACAGATCTAGGATTAAGGAAACACATGCAGTTAAAATATAGAGTACTAATTATGCTCATCTATATCTAAGATTAAGTAACTCGTTTCTAATCCTGTCTCCCCTAACTAATTGTGAAAAACACGTCTGGCCATAAAAATCTGAGAACTTAAAAGATGTTCCCAACAAAAAAGAAAAGGAAACACGAGAAAAAGAAAAGGAGTTTGAGAATTCTAAGCAGGCTTACTTGAAGCAAAAATGTGCACACTCAACAGGGAGGCTATTAGAATATAATAACACAAGGCAGGTACATGACAAGAAAAGAATTCTTTTTAAAGATTTAAATAGACAACTGTAAATTTAAATGTTTTTCTCATTTAACAGTAACCATTTATTTAAAGCAAAGTTCAAGAACTGGCCAACATTTCCACTTGCAGGAAATCTCATAACTATATCTCTCTGGATTAGGCCAAACATCTCCACAGGTTTTACATCAGCATGCACCCCATAGGTAGAATTAGCTCGTGATCTTGCTTCTGACCTTAGTTCCACTAGATCTCCAACTGGCCAAAGAAGAGTGGGGATTTTCTAGATCACAGATATTCTAATGTATCTAACAAGGGCATAAACAACTGACCTAACAAAAGAAGCTACTATTTGTGTCTGGATGCTTTTTCTTGAAAAGCTGAATTATGAAGAAGTAAATTCAGTGATTAATATCAGCTTGGGTCAAACCTAGTGAGAATCTCAGAGCAGCTGGTATGCAGTGATAGTATAGATCCACAACCTCCAAATTTATCATTTGCACATCCGTAATATGCCTCTTTTATTCCTAGCAAAGAAGAACAGGTTATGCTCGAGAAAGGCGCTAACGTTATATAAAGCAAGACGAACAGATAATGAAATGCATACCAAGATATGATAAGGCTGCTGCACACATTATACAAGGCTCACAGGTAACATACAGAATGCACTTTGAGAATCTTTCGGAAACTTCAAGAGGTGAAAGTCCAATTTTCTGCCACTGTTCAACTAGAAAATCAATTGCTACCATCTCCGCATGTCTTGTAGCCTGGATTCACAGAAAAGCTTAGACAGGTTTACATGATCAGGAAATAAGTGCACCTGAATGCAGGCAGCCTTAAATAATTACTAAAAGCCAATGGTAACCATAACAAGCAAATAATCATGCAAGTATCAACTGCAATAGCCTAATATGGAAATCAATTTCAAAAAATGCAATGGCTATATATTCTTCTAGGGCGAGATAGTAAAAGATCTATGCATTGATCAATGTTACAAAAATATAAAGTAGAATAATATCAACTAAACCAAGATACAAGACACAACAGTACAAAGCTAGCTAAATTATAGTTTTCTAGGGTGCCATAGTAAAAAATATGTGCATCGTCAATGAAGTAAAAAAATACCTGTGACATGATACGAGGCAAAAAATACGAATGTTATCAAGAAAAATCTCTTGTAGGAGCCAATTTTTATATAAAGGATTTTTTCTTTTCATATGGTAAACCTCAACTCCCCTCACACCCCAGGCTAACAATGATTTTTTTCCAAATTTCCACTTGGTGACTCAACCAACCTCCTGATTGTGGCGGAGGATACTTTCTACTAGGCTATCCCTTTATCATCCATTTTTTTAGAAAAGAGCGTTTGCAGAAAATCATTTTTTCTCCAGACTCCTGGTGAAAACAGCATGACTGAGCTTTAGGGAAAACATTGAAATGCTTTAGAGGCTAAATATAATATTTTGTATAGTTGCTCGGTACCACGGAGAGTGAGATATCACAACTGCAACACAACCTCTTGATTACAGCACATCTTTTTCTTTGAGAAGTTCATTAGAGCAAATATGTGGACAACATAGGCATAAAAGATTTCTCAAATACAAATGAATAGAAATGTCCAAGATAAATTATCTATAGCATAGATACTGACATCAAGTTAGCACCTAACAATCTAACAAAATGGAAGATGCTTAATAAGATCTTACAAAGAAAAATAAGAGCTGAAAACTTACATTTCTTGTTTCATTCGTTCGATTTCTTCCTGAGGCAACGACTTCCCCATCCTCAACAATAACGCAACTGGACTGAGGAAATACATAATCAAATATGCGAACTGACCAAAGCACAACTAAAGAAAAGACAAGGACATAGGGAACTGCATCAAAAGGGATTCATGATGCAAGGTACTACTTGGTAGGCGAAGCTACAGTCCAGATAAATTTTATTCCAGCCAAATCCTGCCACGCCTTGCAGGTATAGTGTTTGTAACATGACTGTTACATAACTTACATACTGTTCAACTCTTCATTAAGGTCTGACAGAGGTTTCAATGAGAGCGGGCTTGACTTGACTTGGCAAAAATGTTCCTCTACTATACAAATGGGAAACTCTAATATGCATCCACAATCATCAACGAAGTAACACTCAAGGAGGCATAGTTTCTTATGTCAACATGAGCCTAATTGAGGATGAAATACCACCAAGGCACCAACACGTAAAAAAGAAGGTTCTGTGGATGCTCTCCCCCGAGAGCTAAACTAGATTACGCTAAGAACTTATTGTTGAGGTTTTTTGTTTTTTAAGATGAAATAGTCTTAAAATGAGGGTGAATGGGAAATGGAGGGAAAATGAAATTTTGAGTAAAATTTTAAGTTTCCCCCTCTTGACAATGAGACATTGTCCCATATTGGAAGAGGAAAAGATTTTTGGTGGGTATATATATAATTGTTCTTCTTGTAGCTCTTAAAGAGTTAAGAAGAAAGCAAGCCTCGCGCCGTCGTCG